GGGCTTAGTGGATTGCTGAGGAGCTTCTTCTGGCAGGTTCTTCTCCTCCTCTCTCTCTTTGCAGCCCTCTGTTATCTCAGTCTCTTCCCAGCTCCTTTACGTAAACCCAAGTCCTGTTGTGCCCCAGGCCAGGTGCCCTAGGTCCCCTAAGGTAGACCTGGAGCTGAAGAGAAGGGCTGGAGGGCACTAGGATGGGGGTAGGTATATGGTCCTACCTAGGACGCTCTCAACTCCAAGAGCATCCTCTTGAAGGATGAGTCAGAGATATTCTCAACTGCAAGTTCCAGATGATGCCTGGCCACCTCCTCCTCCCATCAGAGCCAGCCTGTGCTGTGTTCTGTGCCTCAGGCCCTGCTGGGGTATCTGGCCCCTTCAATGACCCTGCTGTCAGGCTGACCTGAGCATCACCCTGCCAGTCCCTTACATGCCATGTGAAATAACACACGTAAGATACGTGACCCCAAACTGGCATGCATAAAGGGCCAAATACATTGTGTGTGTTACCATGGTTATCCCGGGTTGTACAGAATTCTATTATTTTGTTGCTACCAATTATAACAAAAGATGCAGAGCTTCGTCATTTTTACAGTTTTTGCAGCTATCACCTCATTTTACTTCCTGTTTTATAGGCCAGTGCCTCTAAAACTGAGTGAAGGACCAGTTTTAATATTATTATTCTAATCCATTGTACAGCTCTACTTTTGCAAAATATAACAAAAATTAATCACTGGAAAAATGAAAAGAAAACAGCCGTGCAGTTATAAGCACCAATTTGTATTGTTAGATTCAATAAACACAAAATTACTGCATCAAATTTCTATGAATATTTCTAAGCACTCTCAACTTCTATAATTACCTTGTTGGGAGACAGGGCACACTGATTGTGAAATGCCTTTTAAGTAACAAGGTAATAGGGGAGGAAGCTGGGACCTGGCAAAAGCTAAGCCCCTCGCTTGGGTTTGCTGACTCTGAAGCTAACTCCGTGTCACTACAGATCTTGGCCCAATCGTCTCTGTGTAGAATTGAAAAAGAAAAGCAAACAAACAAAAAACCTAGCATCTCAGAGAGGGAAAGTACCATGCCCCAACTCACACAGTAACTCGGTGGCCAGTGGATACTGGGACCATATACCTATCCCCCTGCTAAGAGCTATTTCCCCAGCCACAGATATCCTGTTTGAATTGTCCAAGGCCCTGGATGCCTACGGACTGAGTCATGCAGGACTCTGGGGGAGGTATTTTTGACCATGGGTGATTGCTGTCCTCCCCCGCATCCTCAAGCAATCCCCCGCCCTGCTATCCTGCACTTTCCCCGCCCTCTCAGAGACTGCGGAGACTGCACTGGCTGGTTTCAATTAATCAACTGGGTATCTTGCTGTTCCAAAAATAAATATGCCAGAGAAGGGGACACCGACAGAATGTGCATCATCGTTCCCCCTTCCTCACCCTCCAGCCCCTCTCTCCAAATGCACACAGTGTCCTGAGCCTCAGCCCGCAGATGCAGGCTCCCAGCCCACCACCCTCCAAGAAAAAGCCATCTCTTCTCTGCTTCTGGAAAGGAATTAAGAAATGAAGTCACTGTGTGCTTGTGCTACACTGGCACGACTGCCTAGAGCTGCCTGAGCCGGGCCTTATAAATATCTCCCCAAACTAGCATGCTGTGGCCAAAGCTCTCTCAATGCTCAAATCTGAGCTAGGGGAACAGCTGCCTCCTCCAAGCCCAGCCCAGCCCTCTGAGAGCACGTTTTCTGAGATTCACAGAAAATAGAGCACTTGCCCCACACACAGCCCCCAAAGGCAATCCCTGGCAATAATTCAAATGTTAGCACCAATGGCTTCTGCAAACACCAAAAAAAGAAGAAGAAGAAAGATAATTAAAAGACACATACAGAGGCCATTGGCAGTAGGATCATTACTGTAAGTACTGTAATTATTAATGTAAGGAAAGGAGGACTCCATCCATCTTATCAGCACAGAACTGAGACACACACACACACACATTTATAACTAGTTAGGCTGGAGAATAATCCAGGATGTCAAAAGAATTTCTGAGATGTATTTTCGAAGGAAACTTCAGAGCACCTGAAGGAATAATTACCATCATTGAGCAATATTACCATCACAATAGCACCACGTGCCAAGTATTGTGCTAAGCACTGCTCAAGAGGTAGTGTGCCTAGGTGAAGTGGGAATCAATCAGTATTTATTTGGATGTGTAGGTAGGCGGATGAATAGATGGATGTGGACGGATGGATGGATGGATGGAAGATAGATGAGCAGGTGGATAGGTGGCTAGATGGATAGATGAATGAGTGGATGGATAGATGGTGAGTGTCAGTCCATTTCGCATTGCTATAAAGGAATACCTGAGACTGGGTAATTTATAAAGAAAAGAGATTCATTTTTGTTCACGGTTCTGCAGGCTGTATAAGAAGCATGGTGCAGGCATCTGCATCTGGTGAGGCCTAAGGAAGCTTCCAATCATATCAGAAGGCAAAGAGGGAGCTGGCGTATCACATGGAGAGACAGGGAGCAAGAGAGATGCCGGGCTCTTTCAAACAACCAGCTCTCATGTGAACCAGCACAGCAAGAACTCACTCATGACCACAGGGAGGGCACCAAGCCATGGTGAAGGGTCCGCCCCCATGACCCAAACACCTCCCACCAGGCCCCACCTTCAACACCGGGGATCACATTTCAACATGAGATTTGGAGGGGACAAACATCCAAACCATCTCAGTGGGGCGTGGATGTATGGATGAATACATGGAAGAAAAATGATCTCAATCAGCAGGATCAAGGCCCTGGGGGTTTGACTAGAACCTCCATAGGCATGGGGAGTGAATATGACTTTTCCATCCCTGTTCCAATCCCTCAGTCCCCCAAATTCCCAGCCAGCCACCATCTCCTGGAAGCCCTCCAAGAAGAAGTGACATCCTTCCTGAGAAGATGAGGCCCATTTTCTTCCTCTCCTCCCATCCACAGGCTTGCATAACAGATTAAGTCATCTCTGATGAAACCTGCAGCAGAGAAATCTGGGGGCCAAAATTATACAAGGAAGGTCTTGGGAGGCCCTACTGACTCAGGTCAGCTTTTTCATATCTCCTGCAGCCCAGAGTCTCACCCTGTAAACTGTGCTGCCTGCTAACACACCGCCCCGAGTGAGGCCTCATCCTCAGGGATCCCCAGCCTCAGAGCACAGGGAATGAGGGACCTGAGATGGGGTGCAGGAGCTCAGAAGCTAAAGTCACATGAGAAAAGGGGGCCCAACACTGTCTGAGCAACATGGTTCTAGTCACTCCCTTCCCCAGAAAACATTGTACTGGAAAGAAATACCCAAACAATCATATCTTTAGTATTAGAGAAATACAAACCCAAGACTCTTTTCTTTTTTCTATTCTATTAATTCACTGTGATGTGGCCATTTTTTTAATAATGAAAGTAATTTTAATAATGGCGATGCAATGGAGGAGAGGATCCCCTCCCCATAACCAAAGTGGGAAAGGGACTAGCGGGGAAGATTGAAGCTGGAGCCTCGGCTGCAGACCCGCACACAGGCCCCGCCTGTTGATCTGATTAGTCGGTACCTCTATTCACTCCCTTTTTATTTAAATAGCCCAGGAGCACTGCTAGAAAGAAAACATCTCAGAACAGTTACAGGCATTAGCAAACATCTCTGCAACCTCCCACTTGGCAGGCTGTACTGGTAACAACCATGGAGCAGCTAAGTTGGTTCACTGCTGTTTAATTGACCAGTGGAGTTTTTTTTTTTTTCCCCCAGACAGAATCTCTGTTACCCAGGCTGGAGTGCAGTGGCACGATCTCAACTCACTGCAAGCTCTGCTTCCCGAGTTGACACCATCCTCCTGCCTCAGTCTCCTGAGTAACTGGGACTACAGGTGCCCGCCACCACGCCCGGCTAATTTTTTTTTTTTTTTTTGGTATTTTTAGTAGAGACGGGGTTTCACCATGGACCAGTGGATTTTACAGCCTCACATCCTTTCACCCTCATGAAGGTGAAACCACTGGAAGATTGTCATTGACTCCATCTTACAGACAAGACAGCTCAGGCTTAATGATGCTAAGTGACATCACCCATGTGTAGGCAGCTAGGAAGGTGCTTCATGCACAGCAGGGCTCGAGAGAGGTTAGGTAAGTGACGTGAGGAACCTCTGCCTGTTCACCGTCCAATCCACAGGTGCCAGTAAATTGCTGCAGGATGCATACAACTGTCCAACACCCTTCAAACCATAAAACAATAGAATTTGAGAGCTGCGGCTGTAGCACTGCCACTGAGTCACTGTTGGCTTTAAGCAAGTCACTCACCTTGAGGGGGTTGAACGAGCATGCTGTGTTGGTCAGTGGTGCCCAGGAACAACAGCAGCTTGGGCTCAACACGGAGCTTGTTAGAAATACAGAGCCTTAAGCCCCACTCCATACTTGGGGAGTCAGAATCCTGGGGTGATGATATGGTCTGGATCTGTGTCCTCTCTAAACCTCATGTTGAAACATAATCTCCAATGTTGGAGGTGGGGCTGGGTGGGAAGTGATTGGATCACAGAGGCAGATCCCTCGTGGCTTAGTGTTGTCCTCACAATGGTGAGAGAATTCTTGTAAGATCTGGCTGTTGCAAACTGTGGTACTCCTCCATCCCGCCCAGCTCTCTCTCTTGCTCCGACTCTCACCATGGGAGACGCCTGCTCTCCCTTCTTTTGCCATGATTGAAAACTCCCTGAGGCCTCACCAGAAGCTAAGCAGATGCCAGCACCATGCTTCTGGCACAGATCATGACCCATGGGCCAATTAGACCTCCTTTCTTTATCAATTACCCAGCCTCAGGTATGTCTTTAGAGCAACGCAAGAATAGCCTAATACAGGTAGGGTCCAGCTGCCAAGGTTAACCTGACCTCTAGGGGATTCTGACGTATGCACGCACACACCCAAAAGCTTGAGAAGCGAGTGGCTTCTGTGAGTTGAGGCTTCCCCTTGCCGCCCCTGCAGGTGGATTTCGAAGATGTGATTGCAGAGCCCGTGGGCACCTACAGCTTTGACGGCGTGTGGAAGGTGAGCTACACCACCTTCACCGTCTCCAAGTACTGGTGCTACCGCCTGTTGTCCACGCTGCTGGGTGTCCCGCTGGCCCTGCTCTGGGGCTTCCTGTTCGCCTGCATCTCCTTCTGCCACATCTGGGCGGTGGTGCCGTGCATTAAGAGCTACCTGATTGAGATCCAGTGCATCAGCCACATCTACTCACTCTGCATCCGCACCTTCTGCAACCCACTCTTCGCGGCCCTGGGCCAGGTCTGCAGCAGCATCAAGGTGGTGCTGCGGAAGGAGGTCTAAAGCCAGGTGGGGCAACAAGGGTGGCAGGGCAAGGGGCGTTGGGCCAGGCTGGTCTCCGGGGAACTTCTTCACAGGGGCTGCTGGCGAGCTCTTTCTCTTTAGGGACTGCTCTATACCCCATGATGGAGCACACAGTGTAGGGAAGCCAGAAAGAAAAGACAGCCCAGCCACGGAAGCACAGTGGCCCTTCGCTCTCCCCAAGCCCCACCACGATGCCCCTATGCCTGGGCGTGAGGGAAGATCATTTGCTAAGAGGCAGCTACTGCAAGTCTTTGCGTTCACTTGTACTGTAACAACATAAACCAGCACGCAGTTCCCACCGGGGGCCAACCTGTCCACGCGCACTCAGGAAAGTGACCAGTGACCACTGGCATTAGGAGGGTGGCTCCAATAAAGGATTTTGGCTGCATTTGGGGAATGCTGCATTTTGTTCATGCCTGTAAGATTGGTCTGTGTCCTGACCAGCTCCAAAAATATACTTCACTGCCCTGAAAAACAGATACAGGGAAAGTTGGTTGTCTCTTCACTTGGCCAAATCCAAGGAACAGAACAGAGTCTTTTTCTTCTTCGGATTCTATTGTTTGCTGGGATTGTACATGTTCCTTGGGAGATCATGTTCAAGTGACTCCTGTTGCCTGAACCCAATAACAGGCACCAATGGAGGAAAATGGCCCTTGGGCTGGCAGGGGCAGTGACCCTCCCAGGGTACCACTGAGGGCAGGGCCTGGGTTCAAGCCTCCCTGAACCTCCCCTTTGGCTAACTGAGCCCCTGAAGTGCACAGCACTGCCATTTGACATGAAAGTACCTTCGGCCTCAAGAGATGTGAAGAAGTCACAAGGTCTAATTTGTGCGTGTGTGGACTCACTGTGGAAATAAAATGCAATAGAAAGAGCATGTATCGCTTCCTTCCTCCTCAAACACACACACATACACACACACACACACACACACACACACACACACACACTGCTCTTATCTTCTTTAGGGCTGTCTTTTTCAAGTGTGCTATCCAGAACTTAGCCATTAAAAAAGAAAAGATGGGGACGGGTGTTAGCATCTGTGGTCCAGTTCTTTTGGAAATGTATATTTCTCTCACAGATTTTCAATAGGCATTGGCACATTAAAGGCTCTGACAAGTCCTGCAGTAGAGCACACCGTGTAAGGAAGCCAGAAAGAAAAGACAGCCCAGCCACGGAGCACAGTGGCCCTTCGCTCTCCCCCAGCCCCACCACGATGCCCCCATGCCCGGGCGTGAGGGAAGATCATTTGCTAAGAGGCAGCTACTGCAAGTCTTTTTAGACCAGTATCCCCCAATTCTATCTGACCTTTTTTTTTTCTTTTCATGTAACGCCCATTTAAGTCTCATATAATTAAGGTTCCACAGCACTTGTCAGGTTTTCGGAGACATTATTCACGCCTGGCCATGAGCCCAGTGGTTTTGGGAGGCGGTGTGGTGAAGTGGACCGCACACAGCTTGGGAACTAGGACGCAGGCAGCCTTGGTTCCAGTCCTGCTTCTGCTCCTGGTTGCCTTCTCCGCCTCAATTCATCATCCACAAAATGATCTCTAATGTGCATTTTGGCTCCAAAATTTTACCCTATTTTGGTTTTCTCCTAACATCTTATGTAAATTTCAAACACAGAGAAAAGTTGAACAGCTACCTACCCATCTAGGCTCTAACATTAACATTTTTCTACGCCAACTTTCTCACGTCCCTATCCATCTATCCACCCCTCTCCATCCCACAAATCTCGTCTTTATGCATGTTTAAATATGTTGCAGAGATCAGTATATTTCACCCCCAAACACTTCATCATTCATCCCTTGTTTCTGCAGATGAGAAAGTTACAGTCCAGAGAATTCAGCAACCTTGCCAAAAAGCGCCCACCTAGCCAGCATTATCGCTGTGGCTCCAGCCTGCTGCCTCTGCTCTCCCTTGGGGCTCTTCCACATTGTCGGGGGCTCAGCAGGCCTAGGCTCCCCCCGCTGAAAAGGATTAAGGCTGATGTTACTTATGTCTTCCTCAAAGGGCCTGCCCTTTCAAATGTGTCTTGAAATCATGAGGCCATCCGTTTCAGCCTTGGAATCTTGGGTTATGTAGAGAATTTGCCATCTTGGTATTTGTTATAACTGGATTTGACGATGACTCCAATTTTTCAAGCTCACTCTCTTTCTCTAAGGGCAGACTATGGTCGGTGCTTAATTACCCACAAAGTTCACAGAACTGGAGGCAGGACACACATCTGAGATGCATGGGTGTCCAAGGAGTTCTTCTCCCTGCAGGAATCCTCTTGAGAAGTAGCAGGCAGAAAATCACATTAGGGTATGATGAGAACGGGCCTGAGGCAGGAGGATGGAATTCCCTCTCATAAGATACATAGGGACCACCAGGGACTCCTGTTTAAAATGCAGGTTCCAAAGCTCTAGCTCCAGAGTTTGATTCAGTAGTGGGGCCCAGGAATCTGCATTTTAACACAAACTCATTTGTGATGCTGCAGATGGCTCCCAAATCCACTTTTAGGAAATATGTGTTAGTGTTCCTTCAAGGTAACAGTCTAGAATCCTATTATCCCCAGAGTTCAACTGTGGTTCAGAGCAGGTTCAGGGACAACATACAAATGCTTGTTCCTGAATCTTAGGGCATCTTCCCATAGAACTCTGACAAGTGAGTGCACCTGTGATTCCAGAGAATGGGACCAGGGTCCCCTTCCACACCCTGCCACAGTCCATGCACCTGTGCCATAATCAGGCCAATAGCTCTGAAGTCCTGCAGGGATCTGGGTTCTACAAGCCATGTGTTCCGGTCACCGTTCTTGGGAGGAAGAACGGGGACAAAGCAATGTATGGAAACAAATGTTTATTAAGTGCAGTCTCTATCAAGCAGCTGATGAAGCAGACACCTTATGATCAGCCATGCCATTCACCAACTGGCACAGTTACAGAGGAGTGCCAGAGCAGGTCACCACAGTAGAACAAAATCAAGGTGTTCACATTTTGCCTTAAGTGGCGTTTCATTGCTATTGAATACAAAAAGGCTTAAACACTTTGAAACCAGGATTTTCTTAAAAGACAGCCTGCATTGTCCCTTTACATTTCCTGAAGTGGCAAAACATAGACCCAACCCAAAAGGGGACCAAAGTATGTGTCAGATTTTTTTTCAGCGCCTAAAGAAATAAGACTCAGAGTTTCCACATTCACTTTTGATGATCAGAGCCATGAAACATTGCAGAAGACAATCTGCAGCTCCCACTTCCTGGCAACCCCAGCCATGCATATGGTTGTAAACAAGTCTGAAACTGTAGGGAAAGGTGGTTGGGAGACCTCAGGCATGAGGTCTGGGGAGGAGGCCAAAAACAACTGAGCCTGAGGTAGCGTTCAGAACCCCTGTGCTCATTTTTCTAGGCTTTATTTGGGGAAAGACTAAGAAATGGTGAAAATGCTCTCAAGGAGATCCAATGGGACTATTGAAATTGAATGTCACTTATTTGCCATAAAAGAGACTCCTGTGCATAATGTGAAACCAGAGCTTTCACATGAAGAGAATGACAAAGCATCCCACTTGGTTCTGATGTCCAATAATCTCATAACTCCAGGGTTTCTAGGAAGGCTGTGCTCCTGGTCAGAAAATCTACTGTGAGTTGCTGTCTATACCTAGTGGCCCTGTTGGCTCCTAGGATGGCAACTTCCCTGGGACCAGCAGAGACCTCGGGTATCTCTGGCTGGTGGGCAAAGAGGCATGGATGCTAACAGACACCACTACTGCTGCATTTGCACCCAGAGCACACAAGTGTTCCAGTACATCGGCACAGAGGCCCCAGAACAGCATCCTGTTAGCTTCCCAAAGAGCAAGGACTGGCTGGTGCTGACGCTCTTCATGCATGTCCCAGCAACACTGAGCAGTGCCTTGCAGTCCAAAGATGATACTATCTTCAATCTCCAGGTAATACTGAAGACCTTGTGCTAAATCCTTAGACTTTGAACATGGACATTTCAGTGTATGCCTCTCTTCTCCCAGAACATCTAGACAATGCTAGCTCATTCTATTGTGTGTGTATGCGCATGTGTGTGGCTATGTGGCTACTGCAGCATGGAGGAAGAAGAAAGTGTGTTATAAAGAGAGAGAATGGATCTGTGGCCTTTGAGAGTGCTCCCGCTGTATCCCAGTAAGTACAACAATGTGTCTAGAAACTTAAAAGGCGCCCCACCATGCACTGAGCTGGCCAGTCCCTGACAGTAAACCTCTGATCAATAGTGTCCTGTATTTAGTGACAAAGTATTTCTTAGACGTGTTCATGTCCTAACCTCAAGGCTGAGAGGACATTTGAGAACATGTTCACTAAGTAAGAAAAACCTCTGACACCCCTAGTGAATTTCTATTTTATATAAAACATAACAACCTGTAGCTACAAAGCATCACTTGTGCCTTTACAAAGTAGGGATATTATCATTGCTGTTACTTTTTGCCAAACAGAGACATCATCTCTTGCAGCAAAATCGAGTGAGAAAACCACGAGATCCCTCTCAAGCCGTGAGCCACATAGAGAAACGAAAGCTCGAGAGGCAAGAGATTCCAAGGAATTCATCTGTCAAGCTGGCCTTCTCTGAATTCATCTGCTGAACATTTTTTTGTTTATTTTTATTTTTTTAAAGTTCATTGGCTTTTAGTATATTTTCAAAATCGTGCACCATCACCACTAATTTCGGAACATTTTCATCACCCAAAAAAGAAACCCCAAACCCTTAGTAGTCACGCCTCATCTCCCACAGCCTCCAGGCCCTGGCAAACACTAATCTATATTCTCTCTATATAAATATTCGTCCATAAAAATTTGTCCATTTTAGACATTGCATTTCAATGCAATCAGACAACATGTGGTCTTTTGCAACTGGCTTCTTTCACTTAGCATAATGTTTTCAAGGTTCATCCACGTTGTGGCATGTGTCAGTACTTCATTTCTTTTTAGAGTTTAATAATGTTCCATTGTATGGATAGACCACATTTTATTTCCCATTCATCAGCTGATAGACATTTGGGTTGTTTCCAGTTTTTGGCTATTACAGATAATGTTGCTATGAACATTGGTGTACAAGTTTTTGTGTGTATGTGTGTTTTCATTTCTCTCAGGCAAATACCTAGGAGTGGCATTTCTGGGTCATATGGTCACTCTATGTTTAATTTTGTGAGGTACTGCCAAACTGTTTTCCAAAGCAGGTGCACCATTTATGTTCCCACCAACAATTTAAATTTCTACAAGTTTCTCTACATCCTCACCAACACTTGTTGTTGTCCATCTTTTTATTGTAGCCATCCTAGTGATTGTAAACTGGAATCTCATTGTGGTTTTGACTTGCATATCACTAATGAATAATAATGTTGAGTATTTTTTCATGTGCTTATTAGCCATTTGCATATCTTTTTGGAGAAATGTCTATTTAAATCATTAGCCCATTTTTTAAATTGATTTATTTTTCTCATTGTTGTGTTATAAGAGTTATTTGTATATTCCAGATACAAGTCCCTTATCATATATATGACTTGCAAATATTTTCTACCATTCTGCAGGTTATCTTTTCACTTTCTTGATAGGGCCTTTTGAATCACAAAAGCTTCAAATCTTGATTAAGTCCAATGTACCTATTTTTCCATTGGTTGCTTGTGTCTTTGGTGTCATATGTAAGAAACCACTGCCTAATTCAAGGTTACAAAGATCTAAGTCTATGTTTCTTTCTAAGATTGTCTAGTTTCAGTTCTTATATTTAGATCTTGGATGGATTTTGAGTTGATTTTTGCACATGGTGTGAGTAAAGGTCCAACCTCATTCTTTGGCACATGCATATCATTGTCTCAGTGCCATTTGTTGAAAAGACTCTTCTTTCTCTGTTGAATTGTCTTGGGAACCTTGTCAAAAATCAATTGACCATAAGTATAAGTGTTCATATCTGTACTCTTTATTCTACTCTGTATGTCTATCTTTAAACCAGTAACACACTGAGCTAATTACTGTGCCTTTATCATAAATTACGAAATCAGAAAGTGTGATTCCACCAACTTTGTTCTTTTTCAAGGCTTATTTGGCTATTCTGGGTCCCTTGCATTTCTTTATGAATTTTGGGACTAGCTTATCAATTTCTGCAAAGAAGCCAGCTATGATTTTCATAAGGATTGCACTGAATCTGTATGTCAATTAGGATAATATTGCCATCTTAACAATACTAAGTCTGATCCGTGAACACAGGATGTCTTTCCATTTATTTAAGCCTCCTTTAATTTCTTCCAAATTTTGTAGTTTTCAGTCTTGCACTTGTTTTGTTAAGTTGATTCCTATTTTATTCTTTCTGATGCTATTATAAATGGAATTATTTAACTTTGTTTTCATATTGTTTGTTGCTAGTATAAAGAAATACAATTCATTTTTGTATATTGATCTTGTATCTTGAAACGGTGAGGAACTTGCTTATTAGTTCTAATAAGCTGGGTTTGTGTGTGTGTGTGTGTGTGTGTGTGTGTGTGTGTGTGTTTGAATTCCTAGGATTTTCTATATACAAAACGGTGTCATCTGCAAATAGTTTTACTTCTTCTTTTCTAATCTGGATGCATTTATTTCTTTTTCTTTCCCAAACGCTTCTTAAACATTAGCTTCTTAAACATTTTTAACCCAAGTTCTAATTGGTCCGCTGTGCCAGATGGTCTTACAAGGTAATCCCCTTCTAGTGCTACCCTCTGACAAGTTGGTCCCCAAGGACCCCAGCATTTGTTCGCTTAAAGGCAAATACACTTCGAGGTCAGGAGGATCTTAACACCACCCTCCCCATCTGAAGTCCCAACCCCACTCTTTACCCCAAGTCCAGAACACTGGACTTCCTGACCCAATTGGTCACCAATCCTATATTTCCTGCTTTTCACAATAGCCCGGAATAAAGAAGTAAAAAGATACTGGCGTGAAATTGCAAGTCCAGGAGAAAAAATAAGCCACCCACTGCCCAGGGTAGCAGTGGGTTCAGGGTGGCAGAAGTACGTGTAGGAGGTGAGGGGGTTGCCTGATGGCTGAGTCCCCTATCATCTCCCATCATGGAGACCACTCTCTACCCCACTGAAGCCACCCCAAGGAGTAGAGGGATACAAACTGATAGGTATACCTTACACACAAACATACGCCATCACCTAGGGGCAGACCACTTATGCCAGCACAGCCCGAACCTCAGGAGGCAGCCCTGGCCCTGGCTGGTAGGTCACGCCGTGGATGGTTGGGAGCAGCTCCTCTGGCTGGAGCTGCGATGGCTCAGGACAAAGGAAGACGAGTTGCTCTTTTTGCTGGTACTTGTCTCTCCTAGGCGGTTGCCCTTTAGGTAGCTGGCGGAGCAGCACAGGAAGCGCTGCACGAGTTCGTGGAAGAGGTGACCCGTGAACAGCATGTAGATCCAGGGGTTGCAGCAGCTGTTGAGGCTGGCCAGGAGCATGACGATGATGAAGGCCGAGGCTGAGGGGGCGGGGGCAGGAGAAAGGAGAACAGGGCATTAATTAACACTGGAGACACTTCCAGACCTATCTGACTTAAACACCATTTCCTGAGTGACAGGCTTGTCCAAGTACTACATCCCGAATCACAAGATGAGGTACTAAAGAGGCAAAGTTTGTCTTCCTTCTTCCTCCTTGTGCTGGACATGCTCTCAGGCTGTCCTCCAAACCCTCCCCACCAGGCTCAGCCCAGGCTTGGAACTGTCCCTGCCTTTCTCTCACCAGCAGCTTTCCCACTGCCTACCTCCCTCTATCTATCACAGCCACCTTTTCATGCATCACTCACCCAACCAGTGTTGAGCGCCTACAACTTCCAGCGTCTACAAGCACAGCACCCAGAAGCTGCAACACCCAGTTTTCATGCTAGCCTCACCAGCGCCTAGTTACTTGAAGTCCCTAAGAAGCTTCGGTTTCCTAATCTTTAAGTGGGCGTAAGGACAGTGCCCAAACCTCTGAGGACTGCTGCTAGGATTAAAGAGTGCCTGATACACAGTGAGTGCCCAATAAATGATGGCTGCTATCATGACCATCTGCCGGACAAATCAATCAAATAAAATGAGAAACACCATGATGTGGACATCTTGTGAGTTAGGTAGGCACAGGAAGCGGGTGCCGCTGTGAGAGTCATAGCCGGCCCCACAAACGGGGCATGTGAGCTGATTCCCGAATATGCCTATGGTTTTTCCAGGCAGAGCAGGGAAGAAATGTGCTCCAGGCAGAAGGAATGGCACCAGCAAAGGCGTGGCAGCAAGAAAGTGTATGACATCTTCACGGCTGATCAACTGTGGAGATGATCAAAGCATCTCCATGAAGCTATGCCTAAGAGCACTACTTCAGCATGACAATAAGACTCATGCAGGAAAAAGAAAGTGACATGAAAATTATCTGAAGCACTCTGTAAAGGCTATTATACTGAGGACTCATGGAGTTGCAGTCGAAATTAATGATCAGAAATCAGCTTCAAAACATTGCCTGTCACAAACCGAAACTTCAAGGAGGAAGAAAAAATTCCTAATTCTAGGTACTTCCGAGCACGGGGATAAAAATCTGGCTTCTTTCAATGGCCTTAAATCTGAACAGTCAGACATCTCCTGATGACAGACAAGGCCAGGCAACATCTCCAGAAACCTACAAGGAAAACAGCTAGGAATTCTGTTCAGCCGCCTCCTTGTGTGTGAAGGCAACTGCAAGAAGGTGCGGAAAATCCACTAGTCTTCTTTCTGTCTGCTCTGCAAAATTTTTCGACAAATAACTCTAGAGTTCAAGAGCTAAATCCAGGGAAGGACTCTTCACTGGGGATGCTAGAGAGGTGCAAAATCTAGATGTGGCCGCTGATGAAGAGAACAGAGATGTTTATCAGCAAAGTCTTCAAGCACCAAGGAAAGAAAGGTGGTTGGTTGTTGGTAAGTCTACATGAGTGGCTCTCAAAGTGGGCTCCCCCACCCAGAGCGACACATCACATGGGAACTTGCTGGAAATGCACATTCTCAGGCCCCACCCCAGAACTACCCTCTGGAGGTAGGGCTCAGGAATGTTGTAATTCTAATGCACCCTCAAGGTTAAGAACCACTGGTCTAATTAATTGGTGCACCTGTTGGAACAAAAGCAAGCTACGACAGACAGAAAACAAAATTCTTGCAAAAGAGAGTTTTTAGAAAGCAAAGAATGGAAATTTAACTCTTAGTACTAGAATAATAAAGAATAGAAAAGAGGAAAAGTGAAAGAAAAATGACCAATATTACTAAATTCATTGCTTTTAACAAAAAATATTTTGTTAAGAAATTTGCTTTGATTTGGATGGATAAGAAGATGAATTTAAGTTAGAAACTCTGGTGCAATATTTCACCAACAATATTAAAATTCACCCACAAGACTAAAACCAGAATGTCTTAGAAATAACGAAAGAGGCAAAAATCAACATGCAACATGCAAAAGTCAACATTTACAAACTACCAACCACAAAGGGAAGGACATAGGTATATAAAGCTTTGCAATGAGATAGAAGGAAACATCAGGAATGAAGTTAACAGAAAGACACCGTGTTTTGCCTAGTTGGACACAGTTATTTGGCACAATCTTACCTGTTTATGTAAGCCACTGGTCTCACTCTTTACTCTTTGGATCTTTCCAATTTTTTAACCTACTTTTTTTTTTAAAAAACTACAGAAACATCAACAACAAAGAAGAAAAGAGTTAATGAATTCCTAAGTAGCCACCAATCCTTCTGCCTCCAAGAGGCCGGTGTGGGTGGGAGAAGTCTAACCAGCAACTCTGATCCCACCTGGTGGCCACAGACACGAGTGACCTCGAGTGGGTCCTCAGGGGATGAAGGGCCCTCTCTAAGCTGAACCTGCTCATGTCAAGTCACCAACACTAAGGGCACATTTGGCTGTTCTTAATTTGTCAATATCCTAGTCATCCCAAGTCGTTAAGTTTCCAGGAACAGCACTTCAAAGCTCTACCATCACGGGGAGATCTATTTAGGAACACAAAGCAGGGACTATGAAGCATATTTCAAAGGGGTGAGGCAGCAGGAATAAAGGCCCATGGTTGAGAACAGCCAAGATCATTCAGGGACTTCCCAGGAGGCAAGAAGGGAAAGGGGGAGTTTCACAAGAGAAGAGGTTGGAAAGATGGTTTGGAACCAGACAGGAGGATCTTAAATCCAGGCAGAGTCTGCCCACTTGACTGCATGGGCAATAGGGAGCCATTGATGGTTACTGAGCAGGTGAGTGACTACGGATTCCACTTCAACCTGCTTTCTGCACTTACTCTATCTTGTTTAGGCCATAGCATTCCCCTTTCTGGTGGCAAGAAAGGCTTCACAGGATTACAGACGACTTGGAACAGAACAAAGCATGGAAAACATTGTCCTTACATTTCACATTTTCCATGTGAGGATGTGACAATGTTGACCCTCATAATCACTGCTCGAGCCTGCCCAGAAGAGTACAGTTTTCAAAGTAGCCTTACCCTCATTTTATAGATGAGGAAAGTGAAACTTAGAGAAGGAGAGTCACTTCCCCAAGGGCACACAGCAAGTCACCCTGTGTTCACACATTAATGAAGACTGATTACTTTTAAAAACAGGTTAGCATCCTCGCAGGCCAGGTTGGTTCCAGTTAGTGAATCCTGTCTGTCCCAAAGCCAAGATAGAAGGTGGTTAGGCAGTTTGCCTAATGCTATCATTTGAGGGACAGAGAGCAACCTCCCTGTTCCCAAAACAAATGTGGTCCACCACTGAGAGTAAGCACTGCCCATTCCCCATTTTTGATGCTGTGGATGCTGTGGTCCCCCCTGGGCACCCATTCCTCCAGCTGCCCAAGAGCTGCCGGCCAAATGCTCACAGCTGAGCTCCTCTCTGGGCATTGCCTTTGGCCAAAAGGAGCTGCCACACCCAATGACTGCTTAGTGCAAATGTGCAAAGGCCAGGATCCTTGCCTTCATCTGGGCTTCTCTGAAGGGCCATGGCCGCTCCCAAGCTACCGGAGAGACTGGCTTCCCTCCCCATTTCCGCACAAAGCAACCACAATGAAGTCAGCGCAGAGAGGAGGACCTACAAGTCCTCATGGGCCTGACCCTTCTCCGGGGTCCCTCAGGAAAGGAAGCTGTTCACAGTGGGAGCCCCTGGCCCACAGAAACACTGGCTGAGAGGCAGGGAGGAGAACCCAGGAACTCAGGATCTGCACGTAAAGCCCTGGGGCCTGGATCCCCCTCCCACCTAATCACTCTCTGAACTACATCTACTGCCTGAGCCTCAGTTTCCTTATCTGTAGTATGGAGGCAGTAATCATAAGGCTATTGAGAAAATGGAAAAAAAAAAATTAAAGATAGTGTAAAAGGGCTTTGTGACTGGCAAAGTGTTTTTTCAAGTAATTGTTATTAATATTAGTATTAATGCTTGTGAGCTATGACCAACTACAGCAATTCTTTACAATCCAAGTCTGGAGACTCCCAATCCCAGAACAATTACAGAAATCATCCTCAGCCCATTTTCCCTACACTGCTCAAAAGCTAAAAAAAAAAAAAAAAAATCAAACCCCAGAGCCCTCGGATTGAATTACTTGACAAGAAAGGAACTCTAACAGTCAATTTTGGAAAAACTTATTCTACCAGTGACCTAGAAATCCAAAAGGGAAGGTTGCTGTAACTGTGGGCAGGAGCAGGATCTCAGGGTCTTCGATGGAAGAGCCAGTTCTAATCATGTCTCTCCCACTTGCCTGCCATAAAAATCACATCTAGCCCCACGATCGAGCCCTGAGTATGCCAGGACTGCAAACTTCCTCTCTCCCGTCCTTGCTGGGAAGGGAGGATGAAGAGGAGGTGCTGTGCACCCGGACTCCCCGGGGGCTGCTGGTCTCATGCTTATGGCATTTCTCGGAGGAAGAAGAGGTCAGACATCCATCTTTTCATTCTGCCTCCACTCCATGCCATGCACTGAGTAGGTGCTGGGATCTAAGGGCAGTCCCTGCCCTCAAGTGATTTCCAGACTCAGGATGAGAGAGACTGAAAAGACCAGCAGAATATTAAACAGGGGGTAAAGCATTTGGGGAAGGGGCTGCTGGGCACAAGGCTGAGGACTAGGGGTGGTTTTCAAGTGCAGTCTCTTATGTGCCAAGCGGGGTACATGAGCAGAAACAGCCACACACCAAACGCCAATATCCCCTGCTGGGCAATTCTGCCCCTGGGAGAATCAACTCTGCATTTCTACGTGGCACCATGATTCATGGAGGGGTGGGAGGCAGAGGTCTATGTTCCATCCTTTCCAGCCTGGCTTTCCTCAAGCTCCAGGAACTCCCCTGTTCGGATTTCCCGGCACTCTCTCCACGCCAGCACTGAAACCCCAAATTAGCCCAGAACAGCTGACAGGCAGCTGGCCATGGCCTCTCTGGGCTGTGCTGTTCCTGAGGCTACTGGCACGTTTCACATGACTCAAAGACGTACAGTCGAGATTGGCTGGGT